CAAAGCCTAGCTCAGCTTTGTTGGATTTGAACTGGTCCGTTCAATCAGACTTCATGAAGGGCAATTTTATGCCGTCCAAATTGATGCAAGAAGAAGGATTCATGTTCATGGAGACTGCCATTGGAGAAGGAAGCAAGCCAAAAAAGTGAGAAAAGTCCTGATGTTAAAAGAGATAAAAGTGACAAGCAGATGTCTTGGTGAGTTTGTTTGCCGAGTTGGATCCACTGTCCAGTAAAGCGGGTCAGTCTGGAGATACAGCGTAGGAGGAGTCTATTGGACATTTTTTTAACATATTCTCATTGAATATACGATTCATGACCAGTATTTTGAACATTTCTGTAGGTATATTTATGTAATTACTATTTTGTGATTTAGCTGCAAATGTCTCATTGACTTTCCTATATTTTGTGAGTAATTTAGAGTTAGTTTTTTCAAAAACATCGTTTATGAAAATCATTACGATTATGTGGTCCAATTACGCGTACTACAAAGGGTACTATAACAGTTTTGCAATACAGCTTTATTTATTGACTTTGTTCAGAGTAATTTCCACCACATTCAATACATCAAAAACCAGTCCTTAAACCATCTCTGCCAAGTTTTACCCGGGAGTGCGGCACACTCTTGTCCCAAGCCCTCAGAAGCTCCTCATCGCTAGAAAACCGTTTGCCTTTTAGCTTCATTTTCACATGCGGAAACAGTGCAAAGTCGCAGGGAGCAAGATCTGGACTGTAAGGAGAATGCTTAATAAGTTTCAGTCCAGTAGTGGTCAAATACTCCGTGCAGGCTTTGGCACGGTGAGCTGGAGCGATAACTGGTGGAGGTAGCAAGTGTCCTTCTTAAATTTGGCCGCAGGTTTTCCATAGACTCTATGACTAGACAGGCACTGTTCCGAGTACCACACAGACGTGCTGCTGGCGTTATATTTCAAAACTAGTGCCCTTTGTATAATGGAGATAACCTGATAAAGTTCACTGGTTTTATTTGCTCCTCCTAAAAAGTACCTGTAAATGAATCACTTGTTACAGAATTTTAGGTATTACAGAATAACATGTGCAACGATTTTTTCGGAAGAATTATTTTCTTTTCTGAAAGCATTCCATAAATGTATTCCTTTTTCCCATATATCATCATCAAGGCTATGTCTGGTATTGATAGGCCATGGGCCTACAATATTTATGGGGGAGCTGTAAGCATGAAATGTGCACATTCTGGTCCCATCACACTTTCAGATCCATAGTATAGCATTAATTTGACCAACTGAGAACCATCTACCGCTTAAAAGAACAATATGGATTTTACAGCGATGTACATACAGGCATGATAATTGGTTTGTTATTATATTTCCAACAATTAGACATTGCCCAAAAGTGTTTGGCATGGATAAGTTAGCCCATCTGCTATCAAGTTTACCGTTAATTCCAGTATTAGACAAAAACTCTAAAAGGAAATTGAACATCTGCAGCTATACTAGCAATGTAGATGTGTGGCACAGATGTATTGGTCGAGTCACGGTTCCCAGCTGATTATTTATTTTTTTATTTTGTTAATCCGAAAATTGACCGAACAAAAGTGTCTCTAAAATATTGTTTTGTTATTAATATAGTTTTGCTGGAATTTGACTGTAATCTGAAATGAACATGCCAGTTGTACTGGGGTGAACTTTAAGTAAATTACTTATTTGATTTGAATATGAAAACAATGTACTGCCTAAAATGCTCTCTAAGAAGGCGCGGTCACACAATACTTTGTACATTGTAACTTAATTTTGTCTTGTCTATCCAAATTTTTATGTACTTGGAAACACCTTTTGTACCCCATAACATTTATTGCAATTTTATTTTAGTACCAAAGATGTTTAATTGATACCAAAGAATACATATATACTTTTAGAATATTTTCGTATTTTCTTGCATTCATATCTGTTTTTAGATGTGATTTGTGTACTTATCTCGTACTTCTATGTGAAATATTTTATTGCTTAAATCAAATATATGACGATTGTAAATATAATAAACCATATTTGCAACATTCTAGTATGGTTTGTAAATACACTGTAAAATTAAAAACAAATTATTAAATACCTAGATTAGTTTTTAAATACGAAGTGCTCCTTTTTCTATTCTGCATTGAGCCCAACTCATTTGCAGGGACAATCGGTGTTGTCCCAGTTCCTCCGTCTCTCACAGCAGAGAAATCTGGGGTTTGATAATAATGATGCTTTTGCTATCTACCACTACATACAAAACTATTATCATTAAAAGCATGTGATATAACATAGATACATTTGAGTTGTGTAGCTTTCTTCACAGTTTTATGATGAAAAATAAAATATTTCAGATGTGGTAAATTGCAAATGAAAAAAATCTTCAAGGTTCTACGCAACGAATTGGGAAAGATCAGTAGCCAAGCTTATATGTTTTGCATTGTTTGTCGCCTAAATTGACCAGCTTTAGTCAGTTGTCCAACAATAACTACCAAAATGACATCGTTGTATCAATATAATAATAATACTTACTGGTGGAAATATCTACCTTCATTAGACTTTCGCCGCCCATATCAGATTATTTAAGTAGTACCATGTCTTGAAATATTCTAACAGTGATCCTCACTACAGACTATGAGAAATAGAAGACTAACAAAGAAGGCAAAAGCAGTCACTGTGCATAGGCAAATACCTCTTTCACATATTTGAGATGGATTTAGAAATAACTTTTAAAAACGTTATTCAAGGACTGTATCTACAGTTCGCTACAGAAATACAATTTACAATGATCTGACTAGGACGGAGTTTAACCGGGTATTGAACCTATGTTCGCAGGACCTATTATACTTCAGGTTTTGTTTACAAGGCATCTGGCTCGGACACACGTGGCTGACGATGTATTGTAGGCTATTGTAGACAATAGATTGGAATACAAAGAATAGATCAAAAGGAAGTTAGCATAGTTGAATAAGCATGATGCAACATTGTATTAACTGTCTGGTTACTAAGTGCATATAACTTCCCCTATTACAAAAAGTTGGTGCCACGCGACAACTTTCGAAGAAAATAGGAAAATTACAAAAATGAAAAAATAAAACATTGGACAATCGAAATTGTAAAAGTTGAGAAAATGTAAAAATCGCAAACATTATAAAATTGCAAAAAGGTGTACAATAGTAAAAAAATAATTAAATTGCAAAAATAAAAATCAGAAAGGACAAAGTTGTAAATACCCTTTAATCTGTCCCTGTCGCAAAATTCGTTCTTAGCTGACATGTCCTGTCCATAAACTACCTCCCAATGGATTTCGTGTTCATAAGTTAAATACTTCTCGAGAGAAATTCCCATAAACTTGACACAGAAATATTCAACCCCCTCCTACCACATCTTAAGGATATAATTTCTGAATTCTTTAATAATATTTTTATTTTAGACAAAATGTACTTCTACTCGTTGGCTGGCCTAACTTGCAATATTCTAGGTTTTCAGCCTCGAGAGTATTGACCCCAACTTTACCTGCAGGGGTGGAACTTTCAAAATGTTTTTGTCAGTGCCCATTTATATTATATCAAGAAACCAAATATACAAAACCCATATTTGTTTGTTTAAGTTGAAGAATAAGTTTCCATAGTAACTTTCACCCCCTATTTCAACAGCAAGTTTTAATTTTCCAATTTCCAAAATGGCGCATATGCGCCATATTGAAATTTCACCACTCCGTATTTCGGATTTATAACTTGAGCCGTTCAAAAAACAGGCAGGGGGACCTATTTGAAAAGTACTATGCATAAAGCGCTTACGTAGGTACGAACTGCAGACTGAAATATGGTTGATAATCACTGAATGTAATAAAAGCATGAAGTATCTTAAATTTTCCGTATATTATTGTGATTTTCTCTTCGTATGTATTTTATTAGCGATGGTTTTTTAAGGTAGCTATTGAATCATGGAGTTTTTTCCACTATTTACCTTCATACTAATTTCTACGTATACTCAACTTGCTGGTATAATTTAAGTGGCCATCCAGGATAAATGTAATTTTTTAACTGTCTCCTAGACTATGACAGTATAAAGGTTCGTTTACATATGAGCACGCACGCACTGAGCATACGCGCACGCATTCGTTCGCGTGCTTGGAGCGTGTTAAACCTAAAAATCCATTTTTCAACGCATGGGCTGATCCAGTTGTTCGCGTACGCGTTAACATCGAGATACTGATGTAGCCGTGGCAACATTTATTATACTGTATAATTTAATTAAAAGAAAAAAATTGGAAACGCAGATGTCGTCGTTGGTGGATAACTGATTCTATGCAAAAAAAATAATTTATTAAGGAATTAGTATCAGATAGTCTCTGTGATCAATTCAGATATTTTACAAGAATGACCAAGGCTGACTTTGAATATCTGGTAACACCAACGATAATGAAAACTGATACACAGCTTCGAAAATCTATATCACCAATAGAACGTTAAGCCACAACCTTGCGTTTTTTGCACACAGGAGGTTGCAATGTCGTATCAGAGTGTCAAAATCTTTATTTTACTTTTTTCGCGACAAAATGATCCCATCAGACTTAATTTTTTGTGTGCTTCGCAACAGTCTAAATTTTCAATACATTTGATTACTAGTTGCTGCCATGCATCATTTTATTTTCGATTTTGAATAATACTCTTCGTGTCTAACGTCCTACGATTTTTTAATTTCTGAAGCTCTTGCAAGAGTTTTAAAACTTTAGTATATGCCATCCATCATTTACTGGACTAAATACAATCACTTCTTCAATCCTGTGCGTCGCGTTGTCGTTTCCGTCCACACTGAGCATTCTCGAACCCATTATAATTACTCTGAGCAACGTCTTGAGACCGACACCCACGCGGATCGCGTTCGCTGTTGCTCGCGCACATGAATATACAGGGTGAGCGTACGCGCATAGCCGTTTACACTTTAGCATTCGCGGTGGATTAGTCAGTGCGTGCTCAGATCTAAACGCACCTTAAGATACCATAATTTTTACCCATGCCTGTGCCAATTCTTTTACCGTACGATATTTGCGTACCTTGGTGTTGGTAGCGCTGAACGTCTGTTAGTGACAGGACACAGAACTGTCACTTGAAGTGACACGTGCATGACATTTCCATATTTTTGAAAGTATACAAATCGTATATACTTTCTAGTTTTTAGCTGTAAATTTATATCACAAATCACTAGCTACATTGAGATGGTTGTTGAGGAAGAAAATCATAATAATGAAGAGAAATCCAAGAAAGTTGAACAAGTAAAGCCTTTCACTCTGGAAAGTGAGTACATGTTTTATCTTACAAAGGCAGCAACTGAACATCTGTTCTTATATTTTCAGTATTAAAATTAATTAAAGACTGCCAACAACAACATGGATTGCGGCATGGTGACTACCAACGGTACCGAGGATACTGCTCGCGTAGAATTAGCAGGTTGCGTAAGGTACTCAAAGTCCCGCAAGGGGATAAGAAACACTTCAAGAAGAGGGATGTAACAGAAGCCCATGTTATGAACTCTAGAGCTGATGAGAGATTCTTGCATATACCACTGATGTTATCAGAGAGATGCTGGGCTTATGCTATGCAACTGAGACAGGAGGCCAACACAGAGCCTAGGAAAAAGTTCCATCTGGTGCAAAAGTTGAGAAAGGCTTGTGTCTTTGCTTTGCAGTTGGATGAACTGTGTAAGGTTAGTAGAGATACCATTTTGCTGGTGCAGCTGAAGGCAGATACTTTTACCAAATAAAATGAAGTTTTGGTCTTCCTACCCTTGATAACCTAATAAAAGCATCTGAAGATTAGCATTATTAATGCAATGTACATAGTCAGGGCCATGTTATGTTAAGCCATGAAGGGGCACTAGCCGTATAGGAGGTTGGGACAAAGCTAAGTCTGATGGGATTTATGGTAGATTAAAATTCTGGGTCCTATATTGGAGCTAGTAATAATTGAAGAGTGCTTAGACATTTTTTTTGAAAATCCTTCAATAATTTTTATCCTAAATTTTTCAAGGACATTTTCATCAAGTTATATATGTTAACAGTTTAAGGGCATATTTAACTCTAATTTCTTGGTCATTTAAAATTGTGGAGTCTTAACCATCACTTTCTTGCCGGTTTTCCTTTGTTTTTTTATCTTTATTAAGATAAAATTGAACAATATAGAGGGTGGCCAATAAGTACCACGACAAACTTATGGAGAAGGTTGGCTTTGGACTGACCTCCCAAAAAACAAAAACCTATATAAAAGTGTCATCATTTTTGATATATTGAATTATTGGCAAATTTTAAAAAACTAACCTTTTTGTCTGTGGTCTTTAGTTGCATGTACAAATAAGGTTATCGTGGTTCCTTAATATGTTTGTACTACATTTCATTTGTATATGATAAAGCAACTATCTAGAAGTATTTTATAGAAAAAATGAACAAAGTATAACCTTATTTGTACATGCAGCTAAAGACCACAGATGAAAAGTTTAGTTTTTTTAAAATTTAAGAAAAAATCCAATATCTCAAAAATGGTGACACTTTTATATAGCAAAGTTTTTGTTATTTGGCAGGTCAGTCCAAAACCTACCTTCTCCTTAAGTTTGGTGTGGTACTTATTGGTATACTAAGTGACATTAGAAGTGTTACATCCAGAAAAAATAATTTCTTTTACTTGTTTTTTGGCAACATAATGACTATATTTAAGGCATGCTGTGGCAACAATCAACATTTTATCTTTGTTTTTGTTTACCTTTGTTATAATGTTATACAAATTTGAAGACTCAAACTTTTTCCCAATATCACTGCATTGATGGATTCTTATCTGTAAGAGATATATTAGACAGTAGAGATTGATGGTGTGAAGTCTGTGAAGAGGAAGATATTGGGAGGAGTGCCACAAGGTGCTGCACTAGGTTCCATACTCCCTCTCATCTATATATCAATATTATATCCTCTTTACATTGATGACACATCAATATCTCTTGCAACTAACTCTCATGGAAATGTAACAGCAAACAGATGCTGAATTGGAAATAGTCAGAATCTGCTTTTATTTAAACATGCTGTTGTTAAATGGTGAAAAGCAAGTTAAAGAATAAACATCCAAAATGAAAATCAAGTTAAATTTTTAGGTGTGACACTTGACCATTAGCTCCAATGGAAAAGCCACATTGATGTTCTATCCATAAAACTTTCTCAGAATATTCATGTCCTGCAAAAGTTATTTCAAGAAGTGTTGCCAAATATACTCCTTATTTGATACTTCACACTGTCCCAATTGCATATACCATTTGTAGTTATTGTATGGGGCAGCTTTGCTGAGGCAGCTAGTGTTTGAGCTGTAGAGGAAGGCTGTTAGATTGATGGCAGGGCTGAAATACGGAGATGGTTGCAAACATGTGTTTATTGAATGGAAGCTGCTGACTGTGCCAAGTCTGCATGTGTATGAGTGCTTGATGTTTGCCAAGACAAAAGGAGATCTATATCAAACCTTTGAAAATGTTTAGGAATGTAATAGAATAATTAAGAAATTTGGTCACTATAAATCAATTTTCAACAAATTACCTCTCAATATAAGATGAACGATGCATTCAAATAATTTCAAGATTTGTAGTAGAAATTTGATGATTTTCTAAATACTGATTTAGTTCAAAACATTTAGGGCCCCCGCGCACTAGGCAGCCTGGCTACGCAGCCAGGCTGCGGCAGCCAGTAAAACATATGACGTTGTATAGGAGCCCGCGCACTAGGCAGCCACGAATTCCCGGCTGTGGCAGCCAATACAACGCGCCTGTTTGCACGGCAGCCGACTGGCTGCCCGCAGCCAGAACGTGTGTAGGCGAATGTACGCGGCTGCGCCAGTCTCCGCGCACTAGTTGTAGCAGCCAGACGTATTTTGCGTTCCGAACTTGTTCTAAAGATGACTTTCGATACAGAGAAATTTATTCGGGAAATTGAAAGCCGTAAATCAATTTGGGATATAACATCAGAAGAATACAGTGATCGTGATTTAAAGAAAAGAAGATGGGAAGAAATCACGAACACAATGTGCTCGGAAAATTTATCAGAAAATGAAAAAAATGAATTTGGTAAGCATGTATTTTTATTATCTGGATTATACAGTATAATACAGGGTGATTTTGCACCACCAATCAATATTTTTGTAAGTTATCGCACAATAACTCTATATTAGTTATATATTATTTTTTTTACTTAACTAGGTATTTTCACCTCGATGTTTTATTTAGATAAATAGGTAAGCACTATTTTAATGCATATCTGTTTTGCCATTCTAACGGATTTGCATCAATAAAATAATCCGCAAATAAATCCCTATAAGATGCTGATGATCGGCTGCCTCTATTTGTGGGTCCCGCGGTTATTTCCAGTTCTGGTGGAACGTACAGTGTGTCTTGAAATATATACCCGTCTCTTTCGCGCACGTAGTTATGTAAGACACAGCATGCTTGTACTATGGCAATTGCAAGTTCCTGTCGGACATCTAGTGGACGGTGAAAAATTCTCCATTTGTTGGCTAAAATCCCAAACGTGCATTCTATGTACCGCCTTGCCTGAGACAGTCTATAGTTGAAGATTTGTTTCTTCTTCGCTGTTAAACTCCTACCTCCATAAGGTCTCATTAAATTTTCACATAAGCCAAATGCCTCATCCTCCACTATGACGTATTGCATCGGTACTCCATTATTTGATATGGGGCGCTTCTCCGGGATTTGTATATATCTTTGTTAACAAGTTTTTGATACAAAATGGATTTTTTATATATAGATGAGTCACTATATTTTCCATAAGCCCCAACATCTATATATGTGAACTTGTAATCTGCATCGCACACAGCAAGTAAAACGATGGAAAAATAATTTTTATAATTATAGTACAGTTATCCTGAATCGCTGGGTTTTATTACTCTTATATGCTTTCCATCGATGGCACCAACGCAATTGGGATAGTTTTGCATTTTCATTGGAACCTTTTGCTATTTCAAGCCACCTCTCTTCATTTAATTCTGGAAACGATGACTGTCTCATATTCTCCCAAATTGCCATGCAAACTTCATATATGATATCTCGGACAGTTGTATGTCCAATCCGATAATTATGACTCAATTCCATCATAGAACATCCTGTAGCAAGATATCTGTAACAAAGAACAAATATTAATTTTCAGGTAAATCTCTACAGAGCAAGTGGAAGAACATCAGGACTAGTTACAATAGGGAAGTGAAACGCAGAGCTAGTATTAAAAGTGGATCAGCAGCTTCGCGCAAGAGTCCATACGTATATTTCGAACAACTTCATTTTCTTCGGCCCACCGTAGTTATTAATGAAACTCAAAATAGTATGGATGAAACACGCACTGCCGAAACCAACGATAACAGCGGTAGTACTCAAGGTGAACGACATGTTTCCAAAAAGAAGAAGACAAGTGGCGACGACAATTTGGCGCAGGTATTAAAGGAAAGTATTGTAATGAGAGAAGAGCGTGAAAGACAGCACTAGTCTGATTCAGATAGACTATTTATGCTTTCACTTCTAGATGATTTTAAAAACATCCCGAGACATCGTAAGCTTTCTACAAAAATGGAGTTAATTGAAGTTATAAAAAGAGCTCTAATGGAAACTCACGATTCCGAATTTAGTCCGTTTCGGCAACGTTATGTTGATTATGAACCAGGGACATCGGCCGCCACATCATATAGACCACAAACATCGTTCAGTGGACATTATCGCCAAGGTCAAGGATACTCGACTGAATATGGACCGGAAACCACAAGTGGTGGGCAGTATCACTATATGCACTCGACACACTCGAATTATAGACCAGAAGCCTCGACCACTGAAAGCCGTCGTGGGTATTCTACGGCTGTTCCAGACAGGCAAGACAATACTGTTTATACTGATGCGTTATCACCAACTGACACAAATGCAACAGATACGTCTCAGGGTTCTGAATTACTAGAACTATTTACTACACAGGACAACTTGAACTAGGAAATTCATTACCATACATGTAAGAAATAAATAATAAATGTTATGACTAATTAACAGTAATTGAAGAGTATAACTTCTAAAGGGTCTAAGTGCCAATTGACGAATTTTTAGTTAGAGTATGAAAAACTATTCTAAGTTCCAACCCCAATAAAAACAAAGAGTCTATGTGCCAATAACATATCTAAATGGTTCTACTGTTAATCCAAAAATAAAATAAAAAATATGTAATAGGCTTTTCGTATTGTTTTTCTCGTTAATCCCAAAATCATAATTTTGGCACTTAGACCATTTAGAAGTCTGAATTATCTATCATTTTCGTACTCACCTCAAAGTTATCACCAGTTTTTCTTCAGGACTCATACAAGCTCGCATACGAGTATCAATACCCTTGATTGAATTTCGTATTTTTTCCAAAAGGTTATCAAACGATTGCACTGACATTCTCGTGTAGTTAAAAAACCGGTCTGGGAATGCACGAACATCTTTGAAATAGGTTTGGAATAAGCCTTTTGAGTGTCTTTCTAAAAAAAGAGGATGAATCCAGTGTCTTTTCTTTGCTTTGCGTTTTTTACGAGATAGATAAGCAATAATTATAAGTTCTTCCACGTCCATATCGCTCGACGGAAGGATCTAGACTAGTCGTTGATTGGCTGCTATATCTGGCTGCGCAAACATTCTGGCTGCCGCAGCCTGGCTGCGTAGCCAGGCTGCCTAGTGCGCGGGGGCCCTTAAGTGTGATTGTACCATGTAAGTAGCTTTTTCAGTGTGTTAAAACATTTGTAAACAATATTTTGTATTAACATGAATAAATAAATGAAATGAGAATAAATGACATTCCAGAAAGGTTCATGAGGTCTCTACATATTGCTGGCACCACTTTATTTAGACGGTTTCTTCTTGTATTAAATCCTGTAGCCTGTCGCCTGCTACCTGTCACTTGCATCATCAGAGTATAACTGCAGCCTAACAAGCACACACTACACATCACTTTCCTTTTTTTTCCTTCCCCCCCCTGACTTTGGGATCTAAGCAACCACTTATATGTTTCAAACTTCCTGTAATTTATATAATCTAATTTTCAATCATTTGTTTTGGTTTTTATTACTTTTATCAAGGTTTATTATTATGTTTTTATAATTGCAGGTGGACAGATGTGATGCAAGAACTAGGCTTGAGTCCCAAGCATATGTGTCTTGGATTCATGGCACTTTGCAATTTGAACTGCAGCTATGGCAGAAAGCCGCAGAAAATTTCAAGCAAGCACAAATTATTTATGAAAAACTAGCATCTGCTTTGCCAGAAGAAGACCAAATTCCTTACAAGCAAAGAGTGGAAGAAATAGCTCCGAGTCTTAGATATTGTGCTTATAATATTGGAGATGAGAAGGCTGTGGACTTGTTAGAATTGAGAAGCCAAGGTGTGCTGGAAACATTTGATGCTTTAGTGTCTCAAACCAAGGTAAACACTGTCTAGCATTGATAACAATTTTTGTAATAGTAAAAATATAACATTACTTACATAGGTTGAGAAGATAAGCCATTATTGGGCAAATACTTTTATATGGTAAGGCGCGTAGCATCGAAGGATGTAATGTGTGAGACCAATAATGACCTTATCGAACGAGGTATGTGTAGAATTGTTCCACTGTCACCAGTATACAGGTTGTGTCATGGAAAATTACGCATTAGGCGTCATGCGCACTGAATGTGTTAAGCTATTGAGACAGACTATCCATGTTTGTAACATCTTAAACTAATTCTGTGGTTTTTATGCTGATAGAACTCCATTGCACTGTGCCCAAGCAAAGATAAAACGATTTCAGAAAAAAATCTCTGTGGGCAACTAAATGACTCGAGCGAGTTCAAACTTGTACTGACGGCGGATCACATGTATCCATGATTCGTTCATGAACGAGTTGTTCAAAATGAACGACTCTTGTAAGTGAGCGATGATTGAACACCCTTTTGTTACGAATTACTTGTTCAATTGTGCCAATCATGTCTGCAGCGTGCAGCAACTGAACTACAAACTGACAACATGGTACACGGACTGTCTATGGAATTAGGTTCTGTTTTGAGATGTTTCATTCTGTTTTGCTCTAGAACTCGGTAATTCTTCAAAGGAGGACCACAATCGTTACATTCAAATTCAACCAAAAATATTAATGCTAATATAAATTCAATAACATAGACAACCCTAACCCTTCAATTCATTTTCATAGTATTTTATACATTCTCCCACTCTGAGTCAGCTTCGAGCTCGATCGGTAATCGTATCGTTCAAACGAGCGACTCACTGAAGAGAGATGAAGGAAATGAGCGAGCTCAGTGAAAAGAGTCGTATGTCAAGCGTAATCACATGTTCCCCTGACTCCCCCCAAGCCTGGCGCCTCCAATGTTGCCAGATCGAACGCTACCTGTCTCATCACTTAATTTGGGTGGGAAAAGGTGTGTCTCAATTTTTTGATGTTGGTATATTTATATGCCTCCAACTCCAGTAACTCTACGCACCTATTAGATATATTTCACTCATCATAGATGACTATGTACATTTGTCCTCAAAACTTAGAAATATATAACACAATGTATGCGCCCGCAGGAATTTCTCTCAGAGGAGGAAGGTCATTTAGTTGTTTCTTATACATATTCGTAGCTAACTTTTTTCTCAAAAGTGCTAACTTGTGACGACATAATCTTTTTGAACTGATGGCAGTTGTGTGCGTGTGATGTCAACTGACTTGACGCCATTTTTTTTTTCAGGAGAAAACAGCAGCTGTACTACATGAAGTCCTTTGGTTTGGCATGAAGATTCCAATCAGAGTTGAACGAATCCGTTTATTCTTGGTTAGCATTGAAGGCCTTGATGACTCTTTAAAGCATGCTGAAGACAATCAGGCGAGAATAAAGATCCTAGAGAACTTGTTTATTGATCTGCGTGATGTCATTTCTCTGGCTAGAGACAGCGCTCGCACTGAAAAGCAAGATCAGCTGCTTCTCTCATACTTGTTAAGCATCAGAATAGAACGTACCTCACAGCGTAACTTGCTGCTTATCATGCAGGTACAGTAAATAGAATATTTTAGTTTGATGTTAGCTATAGGCAGATCGAAAGTAGGAAAACAATTTAAAATTCATTTCAGACCAGGAAGCCTCAGGATTGCGTCCGTCTCTTGGACATCAACATCCAACAGACTACCGAGTTGACCCAAAACGAGTCTATTAAGGATAATGTAGATGCCTATAGGTACTATGAGGGACAATTGCGAGGTTATCGCACGTTGAGGTCGTACTATTTAGGCAAGGTGCAGGTTGCTCAGAAGAAGTGGAAGGAAGCAGCTGTGCTGTTTGATTCATCTTTTGAAACTGTTAATAAGATTAATACAGGTTTGTAGCTTTCTAGGCACGAGCAAAATACTATAGCTGAAAACTTAATTTGTCTGACGGCTTGAGTTCAATGTGTACGACAGAGGAGTGTGTATAGACACATATGTTAGAAAGAGATAGAAGCCGCCTGGATAGCGAAGCTCATCACCGCGTTGCCTAGCAACGCTGACGCGGAAATCTGCCACGTTGGCTGTATGTTACACCAGTCCCTGGAATTAAGATGCATATTGAAAATATGCGTTAGTTTATTCTTCACGCCTAAAATTTGAGCGTACACATTTTTGAAGTGTGAATTGTGTCGAATCTATTTAGGATTGATTCCCGATCGGTCCTAACTGCGCTCCATTGTAGGTCGAAATAAAAGGTTAGTGGTTTGCTTTAGAACAGCGCATCTTGTACATTCCAAGGCAAGGTTTCCACCTCTATGATCATAGTTGAGCGATTTTGGTCAGCACCCAACACCCATCTTGCGTTCGTAGGCGAGCGTCATCCTGCTTCCAAATGGCTTTCACCTGCGTACATGCATTTTCCGACTGCATTGAATTAAATTTGAACAGACCTCCTTCTTGGACCATAACCTAACCTATTATAGCAGCCTGTGTGAACATTTTCCTGGTGTAACATATTTTACCACGCAGTAGATGCACGACCTTCTGCGTCATCATTGCTAGGCAATGTGGTGATGACCTTCAGCCAAATTTGGTTTTCCTTGTAGATATAATGGATACAAGTTTATGACATCAGTTCGATACAGATCTATGTATCTATTGAAACATATAAAAAATTGAAATATGACAAATTTGGCGTACAGTGCAGTTCTAATGTTTCATGACAAAATAAACGAAACCTCCAATATAGCCCGAAAAATTAGAAAATCAATTTGAAATAATCCTTGAATCAAAATTCAGACGTCGAACTTCTGCTATTTAAACTAAAATATTTAAAATTGTGAAAAATGTGACTGCTTGAAAATGCCTAATAAAATTTTCTTAATATTAATGCTATGATAATGTGATATAATAAATGAATATACATCTTTTTATTACTCAAAGATCTAGCATCCTACTTTTTTAAAAAAATTGTAAAAAAAATAATTTATTTTATAATTTGTTTTGACATTAAGCAGTATCAAAACATGTACCGATTCAATTAATAATTATATCATACTGTTATACTCGTCACCGTTACTGTATACTTGATATTGTTGCTTTTATTTCAGCAAACTATATCTCAGAGTTGAAGGAACTTCTACAAAAAATTAAGGACAATGCTGCAGTGGATACAGTTAACGCTCAGGCCAACTTTGTATTGGATCAGGATGACCAACAGGGCATCCAACTACCTCAGAAAGTCTACAAAAGTAAGAAGCCACTTGTGGAAAGATTGGATGAGTTCAGAGAGGAGCCCCAATTGCTCTCCAAAAATCCGAACCTTGTTCCGGTACCTCCGGCTATGGAGCCAGTACCGGCCAAGCCACTGTTTTACGATTTGGCACTTAATTTTGTGGAGTTTCCCGATTTGTCAGAAAAACTGGAAGGAGGACAGCCTAAGAAGCAACAAGGGGCTGGTATATCTGGATTTGTTAAAGGGTTGTGGGGATGGGGTAGCAAGAAGTAAATTGTTTGTGTATGGCATATTAATTACAGCACTTTGAAAACAATGTTTTTAAATATATACTATATCTTATATCTACAAACATCTTAGAAGTAGCATATAATTCATACAATAATGTCATCTGTGTTTTAAAGTTTGTTGGTCTTCCTTTCTTACTATTACCAGCCACTTTTATGTGACACTGATGCTACAAGCTACAATAAAAAACAACAGTTTGTAATGACATATTTATTTTCACAAAAAATCATTTTAAAATCGAATATTTTAACACAAAAGAAATTTTATAATACTCGACTATTTAAAAATGTTTTATAACACAAAATGTTTCTAACAATAAGTACGTAACAATAGTTTTTAAATGCAAAAATGCAGGTAAAGATATCACAATAAAAGACTTGAAGTAACAGTTTGGCCTTACAGGAAGCTTCATCATAACTCTTTCTCCATGAATATCTCTTCTGATTTATCCTTCAGGTAACTATAGAGTATTTGTTGTTAGTTTTTCAGTATATAAAAATATTTTGATACTATACTATTGCTACTATATTTTTATAAAAGTATATGTATAGGGCGAATTTAAATTACTTTTATCAAGGGATACAAATGTTAAATGTGACAAAATAAGCTAGGATATGTATTGGACAATATACAATTTTTACAACTAGGTGCTGTTCTGAAGATCGCATAAACAAAGAACCCGGCAACACGCCTATGAGAAAAGTGGTTTTGGTTAATTTCGATGATTTTTTTGTTATTCGTTTTGGCGTCCTTAAGGAATGTACTATTAGTCTAATCATATTAGATGAAAATACCCCTGGTTTGCGAAATAATTGTAAAGTCTGGTTTTATTGATGCAAGTTGTTCAAGGGGGTATTTTAATGATGGACGCATAAAATGGAAAACCTTTTTATTCAACAACAAAGAATGAGAAAAGGTTTTTTTTTGAGATTCAATGGAAAGTGTTGGCAGGAAAGAAAAAACTCTTCAAATAAGATTTTTAGGTATTTATGAGACCCACAGAATGAGACCACACGTAAAAAGATCCGACTAATAGTAAAAAAGTTATGTCCGAAAACCGAGGCAAGATGCAGGTTTTCACACTTGGTAATTCGACGATAGTTTCATGCAGATACTTGAAATTATTCAATTTCGTAGGCTTTATACTTATAAATAAAGACAACAGAATTGGAGTCGATTGGTCAAGTAGCTTTTGCGAATTTAATTAAAAACAAGCACAAGCTGTTGTACACTTGTTGCGGACCCGTTTTGTAGCTGTACGTGTTGCTCAATGGCACCGTGAGTTTAATGGCCTGTGCCCATATGGACATTTGCTAAGGACGACAAGATGCATAACTAAAAAGAATCAGCGTTATCAACCGAAATAACTTTTTCTCATAGGCGAGTTGCCGGGTGTTTTCTGATATAATTTAACGACAAAAACCGTTCTATTAAAGATATATTTGTAATTCAAAGTTGTCATAAATTCTGTACAACTTATCTTTTTAATGAGTGTGAATTCTAATTGATATAAATTTAAGTATTATTTGTTCGCCTAAGCCTTATCTGTTATACTGTTACTAAGATCAGATCATTCAGTATAGACAAAAAAGAGAATTATTCACTGTTTGTTTACTAACATATGGAGGTATTCCATTAAGAAAACCCTTAGTATATTGTTGATGTCCTCCACTGTGTTCATGTCAATGATGCTGCGATCGTCCTGTGGTGTATGCCATTCATTTGGAAATGGAGTTGATATCAGGTGGAGTATCGGAACATCTAGATAATAGATACAAAATGATAGACTACAAAACATGTTTAAAGGATAAATAATTCTTTTCAGGGACATGAAGGTAAGCAACTCTGTCAATTTTCAATGTTCACCAGCCTAACAAAAATATATAACCAGTGTGGTATAAAGAGGCGGATCAAAGTATTAGTCTCCACACCATTATATGAAGATCATTGTACATACAAAATTAGAGCTGAATCTACTAGAACAGATGTTACCAAACCCTTTTTTCTCATAGCATACTTTAACCATTCTGCTGGTGGCTATTATATTCTTACCATATTCCAAAAGCTCTTCAAAGAATGAAGATACGATCTAGCGATACAAATTTTCAAAGTTGTAAAAGTAAAAAAACTTCCTATACCCATATATTAATTAAAATAGTATGATTACAAACTTAATGGGAATAAAATTAAATATTAGTAATGTAAAACATATCTTCTATTGCAGTATAAATTTGGGTTTGGTAATGTAAAGAAATAGTGAATCTGTTCCTTTTTTCGGTTAATAGATTTGTAACAGCACTAAAAACTTGCAGTTAAGTAAGATTTTCTCTCAATTTTCCTGGATATTGGTCGAATATTCCTATCTGCAGCCAAAATAGTTGATACACTTTTTCAAATTTCACCATCAGATCATTGTTACGCCCGTTTTATATCAACAATTTCTTCACGAATTTATTCGGATGGATTTTTTCAAGGTCATCCTGATTATGTTTTGGAGTTTTAGGGACAAATTCATGAAGTATTTGGCAATATACAATGGTGCCATCCAAACAATATATGAATTGTGGTTTTGATTTTGAGGCGAACCTGATAAACAGAAACCAGATCGTTGAATACCATAGTTTTAGCACACTTCTATACTTGAATTGAAAAGTTGGAAAGAAAAACAAGGTTGGCACCATGGAATTTGACAAGTTCTAATTTCGGAAAAAATCCACGAAGAGCTTCAGGGATTTATTTGACGTCAAATTACTGTTACAATTTGGACACTTTCCAGGCATTGGCAGCGGGTTGCGCGCGCTTCTTTGCAAGTCTGTACACGCGTTGCACCGACCATCGAGTATACGAGGGTCAGTCCGTGGCCTTCTTGAAAGTGAGAAAGTTCACATTTCAAATTTGAATTACGCGGCAAACGTATACGCGACGAAGTGGGGAGAGGTCTTGATCGACGCGTTCGGCGTGTGGGTTAAATAGTCACAATGGAGCGTTCGACCGGAGCTGCCCTTCGAAAATTTTGTACACGATACAACATTCGCCGACCAACAGATGCCCCAAGTAAGAACATATTGAAAAAGTGGATTAAGAGGTTCCGTGAAACAGGCTCTACTCTTAGTCAATCTATCTCTGGCCCCACACCTACTGTATCAATGAAAAAATGTGCGTCGAGTAGTGATTCGGTCATTGCTAATCCTCGGCGTTCTGCACGGAAGTATTCCGCTGTTTTGGGAATCCCTAGGTGAACACTGCATGACATAATGAAGAAAAAAGTGGGTTTTCATACAAAGTCCAAAGGTGACTGATGCGCCATATCCTCTAGCGGTATTATTGGGCAGTATTTCTTTGAAGATGAAAACGGTCATGCATTGCCAGTCAATTCCGAACATGACTGACACTTTTGTTAGCTCCTAGTGCAAGAACAGAACGTCGATTTAACAGAAACACATGGTTTCAACAGCACTTTTTCCTCAAAAAGTTATATCGAAGTTTGGAGACATTCACTGGCCTCCTAGGTCACCGGACCTCACGCCATGCGATTATTTTTTGTAGGGTCATCTAAAGTCAAAAGTGTCTTCCAATAATCCACGAACACTTGAGGAGTTTAAAGACAACATTCGACGAGAAATAAACATCACACCGGAACTCTGCAAGAGTGTTTCAGAATTGGCGCGCGCCATTAGAAGAGTGTGTTCGAAGGGATGGCAAACATTTGGACGGAATCATATTTAAGAAATAAAACCCGCCGAATTTTTGAATATGTTGGTAGTAATAAATATTTTCTTTTCATTGAGTTTGTATTTTTGCTTATACCAAAAAGTAAACTTTCTCACTGGACAGCCTGTATTTCCTGACTACAATAATAGATAAAGTTGTCAACATTTTTGCGCCTTATGGATCGAGATAAATTTCCCACTTATAACTTGGGAACCCCCATTTTCTTTTCGCGTCAATATAGACCCGTTGACCCTCCTGTGGTCCACTCGGGTCCATCTAGACTACTTTGGACATCATTCATCTATAAATGTCAACACTGATGATTGAGAAATTATTCAGTAACTTACCTCGTTGCATAAATGGTATGTGATCATCTTCAATGTATGAATGGGAAGCTCTTCTTACAAAATATCGTTGGTTTTTTGGTTTCTTCATCAGACCTAGGCTACTCAAATTGTCTTCGATCTCAGCAAGTCTGATAAACCTTGAAATTCAAATGAATAACTTATCAAATTGCATACATAAAACATGCATACAGGTATGTCCTAATCAAAAATTTAAAGCGATTGTATGTGACATTTGTAACAAATTTCTATTATTACAAGTGTAATAGAAATACCCAAAAATCTAAAGGATTGCGAGTATAATAAGCAATATGTGGTGTGGCAGAAATTTGTTACATCCCGGGTACGAGCGTTAAATACGCTGCAAGAAAGTGCAGTTAGCATTACACCGATGAAGAAGGGAACAGACAACTACTGTAGCATTCTTATTGTAGCGTCGCATTAGCATCGGTCTATTGGATTATGTAAATCTTGCAGTGCAAATTATTTATACAGGGTCTTCCTTAATACATAAGATATGACTCCTGAAATAATTTAGTCTAGAAAACTATATATGAACATATGTCCACAATGGCTTAAATTTTCAGCTATAATTTTTACGAAGAAATATGTTTTTTTTTATATCTTTATACTTTAGATATTTTTATTTTTTGGGGATATACACTACTTTTATTCGAGTAAAAAAATTCTATTGCGTCGCCACTGCCGTCCCTGCAAAAGTATAACATATTTTACAAGAATTAGTATGCCATTGACATTTTTCAAGGTGATTTTTTTTCCAGTAAGCTTATTCTATTTCTTTTCTCTTTATCAATAAAGGCCTATTCATGACGTGACAGTGCTGTGACTGGCACGTGATCCGCCCGGCGAAACTAAAAACATTCTTCCTGTAATTTGGATGAACTGATTCACACTAGACCGGCACGTGAAAGTGACCGTGTTCTCAGTGCCCTCTACGACGCCGTACCGTGATCACCGCATTGTTTTGGAACGATATTTTTCGATTTTCACGGCCGTGTTTTTATGTAATTTCGTGAATATTTTGATATATTTGGTCAAAAACATGAATGATGGAAAACTAATTGAATTTGTGAGCGCACATCCCGTGCTGTAAAACCAGTCAAATTCAAAATACATGGACTTCCGTTTTCTTCTCGTTTCTTCTTCATCCAGAATTAATGCAATAATTGCAAGTTCATCCTCTGAAAATTTTGCCATTTCGACCTAACGTGAACACAACTGCACTGTCAGAGCACAGAGAAAAAGACTGACCGGTGTGAATTGAAAACACTGTGAGCTCACGTCATCGAGAATCACTGGCACGTCACGGCTGAGTGTGAATGGACCTTTAAAATAACAAAATGGTAACTGCTAATAACCATATTGAAAAATATCATATATAAACAATAGTCATTTCCACCTGTTCACCTTGACTCTCGGTGCTCTATTTCTATAGAACCATCCATGTCGACTTCAAATGAAGTGGTGCGGCTGATTTTTGACTGACTCACTATAGAGTCAAACACTCTACATTGCACTCTACAATTTAGCTAGCTATGTGCTCATGAATAGTTTTTGGTTATGATTGTGTCAAATACGGCATGTTGGAGATAACGCAAATCTGGCTAAATGCTGCGGCGTTTATGTGGAGTCATAGCATCCTGGTAATACTATTTGTCATTGTTGGTTGGAGCAGCCCAGTGGACATTTTCTCTTAGTTTAAAGTTTTGCCAGCCTGCTTGTCAATTCTAGTTACCCAGATACCAGATAAGTCGGGTGAAGGGGACAGAAAGGACGGAATAGAGCAAAGAAATCAGTTGTAAAAACGATGACTACAGTGCAAGACCTGGAGTGTCTGTGAAGTTGCCCAATTGTGTAGTACTCGTATATTGCCATGCAACAGTCGACTGTTGTTTTAAGTAATTCTAAATTCCTTTAATATGAAGGTATTATCTTATACATGCACAAGGCGAAGCGAGGCGAACTGAATCGCGACCGACATTTGTCATTTACACGCGTCAAATGTGACACGTCGCTCACGTGTGTAGGCAGTCATTTGATTATTTGTAATAGAACCCAGCGGAAGTTTCACTTATTTTCTCCTCAATAAGCCTGCACAAATTGAATGAAGATTGAGAGCAAAACTTGCGTAGATAATGGAAGTTGAAAATATGTTATCTTTGACTTACCATTTTTCAGTTTGAGAAAAATGACTTAGGAACTTGGTTCCCCTGTGACCTATCAAATCTAATAAAACCAACATATCCATTTTCTCTAACTCGGATACTGATTCTCCAGATTTTATTGAGCTCACAGTGCTTCCATACACTTCAGCCAGATGTTTTGCACCATAAATAGAATCATTTGGTCCCCATTGATGGAATGCTTCTTCTCCATCAAAGAATACTAGCTTCAGATTCAGGTTCCGATTGTCTTTCAGCTGACCTAGTTCATTTTTCAATTCTTTAGCCAGGTTTAAGAGCATGGCACATGGTACAGCAGAATCTGTAGCACCTGCGATTTGGAAATAAAAATGTTATTTAATAGTTGAACAGTTCTCTATTTTTAGTTGTTATGGAGGTTTGATCTCAATCCACCTTTTTCATTTGACTTTATTGTATTCAGAATGCATGTAGAATAACTTACCGACAAAAACTTCTTTTTCAAAATATTTGCTATCATAGTGGCAAGCTAGTACAAGGTATCTGTCAGCATTTGGATTCAATGTTGCTATGATATTCCTGAACTTCAATCTTCCAAATATTGGAGTATTATTTTCAAACTCATCAATATCAGTGTTCCATCCTAGGTTTTGTAGTTCTTTTTTGATATATTGGAAGACTTTTTCATGGTTAGGTGTTCCTACCACTCTAGGTATCAGTATATTATTCAATACTTCATTGGTATATTTAACATTAGATAATCCAGCTACATATCGAATTTCAGAGTTGGAAAGTTGTTGAGTTCTGTGGTTTTTCTAAAAAAGGATATCTTTATTTTGAATGTTGCTATTGAAGTATACTTTCATTTTAAATATGCATGAGATACATGAATAAATGCATTGAAAACATAGTGAAGATAGTTTAGCTCTAGATATAGATTCTGTTTATCATTAAATGTATTACCAATGAAACCCATTCAGGCTAGGTTTAGTATGTATGGAATGGCATTTGAAACAAAAAATTGAAAATAGATACAATCTAGGATTACAGAGGGTACTATAAAAGTTTTGCAATATGACTTAACAAACGGACGCAAGAGGCTGCATGTTGTGACATGAATATGAGTGCATGGTAGCCGCCAGCAGCACGTCTGTTGATTTAGTTGTTCATTCGTATTGACAGTGTAAAATGTGGACTATGGCATCGTGGTCACGTAGTGAGATAAGGGTAGTTTTACGGCCAGTGCTTGGAAGAAATGACGCTTGCATTAAAGAATGATTGTCCTCATCGTACGACTATATTCTGGTGGTACAGAGAATTCAAATGGGGCAATTTCATTCTGGAGAATGCCGAGAGGGAAGGAAGGCCGCGAACGTCAGTAACAGTGGAAAACATTACTGCTGTGAGGAAAATGCTTGATGAAGACCGGATAGTGACATATCAACAGATAGAGGACACCTTTATGCACCAGCAATTCATTCAATTCTGCATGACCATTTACACGTAAGGAAACTTTGTTCGTGCTGGGTACCGCATTGTCAGACGGAAGAGCAGAAGACTCGTCGTACGACTTGGTGCAGAACGATGCTGAAAATGTTTGATAAGTGGCAATCTCGGTGTGTAAACAGTATTGTGACAGGTAACGAGGCTTGGCTCTATTATTACGATGTGCCGACCAAGGCTTAAAACAAAGTTTGGGTCTTTGATGATGAGGACACACCCGTAGATGTCAGAAAATCCTGATCTGTTAAGAAAAAAATGATAGCTGTATTTTTCAAAAGCGAGGGGGATTGTGGGGCGTGTCGTTTTGGACACACAGAAGAAGTCACAGCTAAGTGGTAAAGGTAACAGTGCCTACCTAAAGTCATTGAGTCTATGAAAAACCTGCGGCCAAAGTCAAGAATGAACACTTGGTACCTCCAACATGACAATGCTCCGGCTCACTGCACCAAAGCCTGTACCGAGTATTTGACCACTACTGGACTGAAACTTATTGAACACCCTCCTTACAGTTCAGATCTTGCTCCCTGCGACTTTGCACTGTTTCCGCATGTGAATATCATAAACTTCTGAGGGCTGGAGCCGCACTTCTGGGTGAAACTTGGCAGAGCTGGTTTAAAGACTGTTTTTTGGTGGATGGAGCAGTGTATTGAATGTGGGGGAAATTACTTTTAACAAAGTTAATAAATAAAGCCGTATTGCAAAACATTTATAGTACCCTTTGTTCTAACAAATTTGTAGGAATTTATCATAAATAAACATTCCGAAACATGATACCTTTCTATTTTTTTTCAGGTAACCATGTGAAACTCATAATACTTTATAATTATATCTGACCTTCAAATGTATGATATATATTTTTGAAATGGCTATAATTTTCATGTACACGAGTTCATAGAGCTGGAAAATATGATTAACACAAAACTCATTTTCACTATAACAACTCATTTAAGGGAACCGAACGGTTTCTACATAATACAATAAAAAAAGAAGTAAAGAACAATCTTGAGAGTATACTATATACCAGGCCTCTCCAACTCGGGTGCCACCAGTGCAGCGCCGAGCACCGCTCGCAGCACAGTGCTGAGTGGTGACTCCGTGAAGGTGGGGGAGGGATTAGGCAGCGGCATACGCATCGCGAGGAAGCTGTTGTGCTAACCGTAGCACCATGCGAATAGAAATGACCCAGGAGCTGGTGGCATTGAGTATACCTTCATCGCGGATTCGACTAAAATTAGTAATAATATGTAGTTTTTAAGTAAACGAACAAGAAGAGCTCAGTAAGATGGGGCGCATCCTGCCAGAAGTACCTGTCATACCGACTTAAAGATACAGCGTGACAAGAGAATTTCACCGAATCCAATGAAGCCTACAAGGTTTGATGGAAATTTTAGGCTCATTTGGAAAAACATGGTATGACAAAGTGATTTTCGCCAGAAGTTTCTGTCGTACCGATTGAAAGCTATAGCAGGCAATGCAAACAGATCAAAATAATACATCCTGTTTGTATGCTTCATGCTTGCATTTAAAAGTTCATTTGAGTCAGTTTGACACCAGGCTTCTAGATGTTTGAAAGTATGTATGTATGTAAAATGAATATGAAACGTCATGACCGTTGATATAGGAATAAGTTATGGTAAACTCCTACCGTCATGTTGTATCTTCAAGTCGATATGACAGGTACTTTCATCGGCATACCAAGCCCTTTTTGTTCATTTAGTTTGAAACTACATATCTGTACCCGAGAGGTAAACAATCGTAAATCCAAAAACTAAAGTTTCGAGTAATGGCTGAAACAGGCAAAAATTTCAACACAGCTTCAACAAAATTAAAAATAGTATCAACATCAAAAAGACGGTTTTTAAAAAAATAGCATATTTTAATCATTATTTTTATTTTGAGGTGATATTACTAGAATATCTCAAAATTGAGTCAAAATGGACCTACGGCTGTTTACCTCTGAGCTACTGATTATTATTACTAAGTTTAGTAAAATCCGCGATAAGGTTTAATTTTGCCGGCTCCCAGCCCCAACGGAAAATGAGTGTGGAGTGACATTCGTATTGACATTTGAATTGGTTTGATCTAGTCAACGCGTGGGTGATAAAATAATGTTCATAATTTCGACGTAAACACATTTATTCTTAAGATGATCTTTGACAGCGTTTCGATTGAACGAGTTTTCTAAGATTTGGTACAGTGGCTTGAGCAGTGGAAATTCTGAGTATCGCCTCTAAGGACGCATCAGACAAAGACCTGTTTTTAGTTTTGTTCAAATTCATTAAAGAAAACAATCTGCTCGCAGAGACCTTGCTACATCCATAATAGATTTGAAATTACGGAAGGTTTTTGCACATAGTTGTTCCTGATGTAATATGCAGTGTACCGATGATATCGGAGGTAGCCCAGCGTCGCGTACTTTTATTTTCATTCGCCCAGTAAGACCTTGTGCTTCCGATAACATTGCTGGCGCTCCAAACTTTTGAGTAGTATACCCATGTCATTCATTGTGTATTCAAAAATATCTTCTCTGGCCATTGTATCTTTGGGCGGGATAACGTCTAGTAGTTCGTCAGTGATAGTAAAGACTTTTCGACACCTCTAACGAAAACAGCTAATTATGCTGTGTCAGAAATGTCTTTACTTTCATCGAGAACTATAGAATACTGCACAAGATGGGCACATGTTGCCGCAGTTGTTCTTTTAAATCTGCACCAAGTTCAAGTATCCGACGAAAAATTGTTTGCTTGGACATACTAATTATCTTAGGAGATTGCTTATAGGAGATTGGCACAATATTTATGCATACTCCACTAAGCATTATTTGACAAGTGCACCGTCAGTACGACCGTTTACCAACTTTTTGCGTTTTTCAAAGCAACAATATAACTTGCATTACGACACCATAAATAATAACTACGACCTAATTAATAATTACCTCTTCAGAACTTAGAAGGGCTGGCCTCAATACCGTGTGACAAATTAAACATTTTGCTTTTCCATCAGTATTTACAAAAAATAGGTTTCTTCCATGCAGAATTGAATGACATCGTTTAAAAAAAATGCATGTTAAGACGCTAAAAAACCTGTCCACAGTCGGCTAATATGTTTGTCTCTGTCGCGACGGCTGTGCGGTCGACGTGGAGGGGGAACGGCACGGGTGCCGCTGGGTTCAGCACCGGAGCACACCAGCACCAAGTGCTCGAGTTGGAGAGGTCTGCTATATACAATGGAAAAATACTCTTTTCTCTGAACAGTAGCAACCTTACATTAATCACATAATTTTAAGAGTACAATTTTGGAAACTAAGCACATTTTTTGTAATACAAATTAAAGGGATGTAACAAAAATCTAGAAGGATTACATTGGCAAAAATTTACTTATATTTACTTATATGAGCTTGTTTATGTGTATAGAAGCAAAATAACCTTTGATTTAGATTATACCTTATATCACATCCTCATTTAATTCAATTAATAATCAGTAACTACAATAATTAGATGAACCATCTCATCTAAAGGCTCACATGAATTATGAAATGAGGTTCAGAAGTTACTCTGAATAGATAAATACATCAGTGATATCACAATAAAATCAAGGTTTTGAATCTTTAGACCACTGCTGATTTTTTTTGACTTGTAATACATTTTTAGGAATTAGCGTACATTACAAATTACTATACAGGACACTCAGTGAATATTATATTAGCTGTGGCTAACAGCATACAAATACATTCTAATTTGTTCACAAACGTGGCCATGAAAAAATATTGCCTTCAGTTTTAAGACTAACTAAAATTGATTAGAAGATTTCTATCAGGGTCGATATTACAACTAGCATGTCCTCATTTGTTTGTGTTATTGAAAGAATCCGAGAATGGAAAACTAATCAACATTTTCTTTTATTACAAACAGAAGCATCTCTTACCTGTAATTTCTTCAATTGAGACGCATATCCTTGTACAAAAACTGCAGCTATAATCACAGATCTTACAAAAACTGGTATCATTTTACTTATGAATACATAAATTGTTAAAAAAGAATGTTAGGAGGAGAATTAAAACATGTACTCCCTAACCTAAAAACTACCGTCAACGTCAGGACGTGCAGTGTCATAAATATCAACACGAGAAATGCAAAGTAAGGTTCGCTGATCACTCTTAAGTATGATGCGCCATCTACCATGCCATTGTGAACATACTATGCATCGAGATTGGATATGGTATGGTGAAAAGTTACTTCAGTGATCGAGATGGGAGCAAAACTGTTTTCAAATAAAGGTGAATGTGTATTGCAAATATGGTGAATGTACCCACATTCTCCTACCTGAAGATAGCCTATATTTTCGCGTCCAAAAAATTATCCGAGATGGAAAGAGATACCGTAGCGTCGTCTATAAGAATTTGTCACAGCATTGTTTCTCCTTTCCGCACTAATTAGAAATCTACTTTGAAAACGTTAGTGTTTCATAGATGGCGCTGTAGCGAAATATATGCCTTATGCTAAAACATACTATTCGTCGTCGATGGTCAGAGCGGTCCGGTGGATCTTTGCTCTTAGGTTAAAAGTCTCGTCGGTCTGTTAGTTTGTCAGGTCTGGCTACCCAGATACCTAACATTTTCTAGGGGTAAAGGGAAAGAAAGGAAGAAATACATAGAATAAAGAAAAGAAATAAATCAGTTGAAATAGCGTAAGCTTTATTGGTTTAACTACTCGATTAATTTTGTAACTCCAAAAAATAATTTTGATCGGTTTTATATACTGAAATAATTTTTCCTTGCTTAATCGCAGCCCTCTTTTCAGAAATTTTCTGACAGATGTCAGTAGGGAGAAAAGGTCTGCCGTGTCGCTGCACTGGAAGCACAGCAGCACGCTGTAGAGTTTGGTGAACGAAACTTGTCCAGTCCGATGGAGCAGCATCTATTCCGTTCTCATTATGTATGACCGGGACACTGGGAAACTCTTTAAGAAATGATTTGTATAGTTCCCAATCAACTCTTTTTCTTGGAGGAGTTTCCTCCTCTGCGGAATGACCATTATCTACCTCCAGAACAGGTAGCTGGTCTCTGGAGAAGTCATACAAGATCCTAGAAGCAATACTAAATCTGCAGTTTTTAGGTGTTGCAAAGTCAAACCTCCGGTGCCTGAAGGTGATTGCAAGGATGGTGTGTCGGCTCTTCGGTGCTGTGAATAAGATACCCGTTTCGCATCATATGCTTGTAAAGCCGAACCCCTCAAGTAGAGTTGAGCCTTGAGTATCATGATCGGTGTTTGCAGTCGTAGTCCCCTGCCGCAATAAGAGGACCCGAACAGCCCAGAAGGACTTCCAAGTCCTCCTCTCGCAGCCTGGCATCGCACCTGACATACACCGAGGTGATCTTCAATGGGATGCATCTCGGCGTTTGTGTTTCTGTGATAGTGAATACCACGTTCAACGAGAACAGCCAAGCCACCACCCCTACCATTGAATCTGTCAGCGCGTATAACATCAGAATTCGAGAAAGCTAAACGATCTCCCGGATTAAGTATTGTTTCTTGCAGCAGAACTACTTCTATATTATCATCCTATAGAGTTTGATGAAATTCCCATTTTTTGGAAACACCTCTTAGACCCAGACAATTCCAAAAAAGAATTTTGATAACTGCAGGTCGTCTATTGTACTTAGCCATTCAATGGCTGCGGAAAGATCGCCTGCAATCACTGAGCGGCGATAATCAGAGCGCTTATTATTTGTTGAAGGTACCTAAGCGCAGTTGCTAGGTTCACATTCTGCGTGTTCAAAGTGAGTTGAAGAGAGGGGGGGCCGAAGATGTTGAGACGGCTTCTTCCGCGCATGACTTGCTGCGTCTTTGCGCTTTAACTTCCAGATCTCTCCTGGGGTGAAACGGCGAGTGGGACTGTTAGCGGGATGCGCCCCTCCACATAAATGTGTCATATGGTCGGAAGCACATTTTAAACATTTGGGAGGTGCTGTGCAGTAAGACTGCGCATGACCACACCTTTGGCAGCGGTGACACTGCCCAGTAAGTCTACAGTTCTTCTGAACAGGTGCTGGGACATGTCAATCTTGGGCAGTAGCACGACCACCAAAGACTTGGCTGTGCCGCCACTGAACGTATGATGGGACACGTCTTCCTCACTGAAGAGGCGATTGATCCTGCGGTAGTCATCCTCAATTTTCGGCAAAATCCTGATTCTCGCATCAACGGCAACTGCGCGTTCTATCTTAATGCCTAAGCTTATAAAGTAGTTTAGATTCCGAGACTTGGCCGCATCACGCAAAACAATGGGCGTGATTCACCTCTGGCGGGATGCTGTGCTGGTCAACTCACCAGCAACGTGAGATTATTGAGATAATGCACCGTCAGTCGATGCAATGGCCAAAAATGAGGAAGATGTGGTCGCTGCATCGACTGGCATAGGGCAAGTGGCAGTGGAAGTTGATACATTTAATGAAGCTGACGGTTTTGAGAGGACTGTCAACTTGAATTTGGATTTTGCTTTTGGAAGAGGTGGAAAGTCATCCGTCTTGTCGACTTTTGGCTTGTTCGTACAGTCTGTTTGCTGAGAATCAGCAAACTGATAGTCGGCGACAAGTCATGACCTAGTTTAGTCAGTTAGCTGTCACTGATATGTCGCTGACTGTATAGACTGCGTACATAAGAACGTTGCGAGTTAGCTGAGGGAGTCAAGACTGATTACCGACAACTAATCCGCTGTTCGTACAGAAACTTCTGACTGATGACTGTCAAATTAGTCAGCAGATAATTTGCCAGTAAATTGTCAGAGCTCGAAATCAAGTACAATAATTATTCGAAAGTAAAATTTTTAAGAATGAAGTAGACAATTTTGGAAAAGTTGGGGTATATTCGCTTGCTGCAAACCAGAATCATCTAGGATTCATCGTCAACTGTCCGAATTTTCCTCTAGAGAGGCAAACATGGGACACTTTCTAGAAAAAATAACAGCACCAAAAAATGTCAAGTAGATTTTCTCAATATTCCTATTCAATTCTCATTTAAAAAGTATAAACATAACTTCGAAGAAATGTGATTCCACACATCGAATGACAAGTTGAAGAAGTAAATAGTAAGAATTCTGAATAAACGTCTGCAGTGATGCATAAGAAATGTACAAAGTACTGAATAACTCTTAATAAAACTCGGATAGTATTGTTTTTGTTCCCTTTTCGCCCAGCGTCGAAGTGTATGCACAAAAAGTATTTATATATTCTAACTATGCAAGTCCATCCCAAAGCTTATGGAAAAAACCAAAATAACGAATTCTGGAGATTTTTGGATACGACTGTTTCTGCTGGGGTGAAAATAATTTCCCTGTAGAGGGTATTTAAAATCCGATCCTCACCATTGGAATCTCGGAAACTTTAGGGATACAAAGTCGCTTAAATAGGGGCAAAGTTGCGTATTCAGATAATCAGCAAAATGTCGCTTAGAAAGTTTTGAAATTGAAAGGTAATTCCCAAATTTTTGACTTACAATATGTTTCCAACCACTCTTTATTAAGCATGTGACAAATCTAGTTCACCCATGTTAAACATTCATACCCCGCCTATGAACAGCCGACTACTGGTATTTAAGTGATGTTCACGTGAACATCGATGAGACTATACCTGTTCCAACAGGAAGAAGCGCACACCATTGCTGCTGGTGGGAGAGTAGTCGCTAGTCGTAAGCGCACTGAGCGGGTTGGCAGTGTTGCCGCTATCCTTTCTTAAAGTTGCAGATTTTTTTATAAGACGTTTACTTTATACCACCTTTTCAAACAAAGACTGCTCGAGTCTACGGGGGGGGGTTAATTACCTTCTTTACCCCCTCCCCGTGGGAGCGCCAGTGGTCTAGTTTGTACTGAACATAATCCTTTATGAACTGGTAACGGTGTTGCGTGGGAAGTGCAGAGTCAACCTACTTAACGCCATTTTTTTGGGAAGCTGGATATCCTGTTATACTTGAAACTTATCCGGTGGTTTTCATGCTGCTAAACCTCCATGTTTGTTTAGACGCTAAATGAAATGTCAGCCATCTAGCGATTACTTAGAGAGCTTGCTATTAACGCGAGCTGATATCTCTAACAGTAATACTAATAGCAGCTATGCGCCTTCCACAGTGGTCGATTGTGGTGACAGATGGCGCTATGCGCTGTTTTATTTCGAAACGACATATGTGTGAGTATCCTTTCCTGATATGATATTTCGCCCACCACGGTGTCATTTATAGGTACTTGAAAAATATCACCGTGTTGGCCGAAATGTGGTGTCAGTAACCGGTAATCTAGTTTAGCGGCCAGACAAAATTGAAGATTACTACATATTCTGCTCTACTACTGAATAAACCGTAGTGTATGATAGTAGCTTATAAAAAATAATGCTACATCGAATGATTCTCCCTAATCTATTTGCCGATCATCAACAATAAAATTTTTCATCGAACATAGTGCTTGCACATTGTAGTTGAATCGGCATTGTCCAAATAAGCGTATATCGCACAATACAGTTATTATTAATTATACATTCATTATTTGCGAAAAGTTCAATCGTCCGTTTTTCCATATATGCAGTCCACCGTGCAGCTGATTTGTTGTTGTAAAATAATTATTCTTTGCAGTAGTAGCTGCAACATATTTTTTGAAATATCGAATTACTGTGCTATAATAAACGTACAGCGGCGCAAATTTCATGAGAATGTTTTACATGGAATTTATTGATTTGTTTCATTAGAAAAAAATGGATTTATATGGTAAAAATGGGAATACAGATTATCACCAATAAACAAAAATATGTTTACGGAATCTATTTTTACTTCCACTCCAGTTGGTGAGGAAGTATTGAGATCGCGAAAAATGTTTTGGAGTTTATTTAACTTGAAATACGAAGAACCATGTCACTCATTTCCATCGGTCTGTCTGCACATCCTTGGCACCTCTATAACTTGGAAAGCTCTCTGTTGCTACTATGCCAAGGACGAAAAAGCTTTGTAGTTTTTCGAATTCAATCGAGTGTCGTCACAGTACAGAAAGTGAAAAAACAAAAATTGCTCAAACGTCGTTTTTGACGTTTCATAGACTTCTGATTATTTTTGTAAAGCTTTTTGCTTAGGGTAAAAATTGAGGGTGGGAGTTTCATAGGATAGGGAGGGTATATCTTGGTGTATAGCTTAAATTGTTTATATGCTTCCAACCCCGGTAATTCTACGCACTTTTCAGACACACGTTTTCCTGTACGTTTGTCTTTAAAATTTAAAATATGGAGAAATGCAAATACACCCGCGTCGAAGACGAGAAACGTTTAGAGATGTGTTTTGGCGGTGTCATGACTGGCTTCTCACCGCTACTTGGCGAGGTTTATTCATAACAACGTAGCCAGATGGCCGATACCGGCCGGTAGGGC